GATGTTCCAGAAGTCCCAGTGTTCATTGGGTTCCAAGACACAAATGAAACAGAAAACATATATAAAGTGGACAAATATAAGGATGGAGCGTTGCAGTCGCCCTCTTGATTTTGTCATTTGCTTCCTTCACCCACCTCACACACAGATTCAATGAACGTATATATATATATATATGGAAGCCGTTTGATAGATACAAAAGGTGCAATTGACACTGTATATATAGATATATAATGCTATATTTTTGCGATACAATAGGAATCACTAAGGAAGGAACTCGGCGTTAAAATTGTTGACTTCTCCTTTTGCCCATAGTTCATGACATTGATCATACTCTTGGTCAATCCTTTGCAAGTGGTCTTGCAAGGCTTTGACATTCCTGGGCGACAGTACAGTTGGGGGTCATTGGTCATGATACATGCAGAGTCACAGGATTCATTCACCTCTTTCTATATATATATATATGTTGTACAAACATAAAACTGCGCACGATGCACTTGCAAATGAGGTTCCCTGGGGTGGAGGCACATGTTTTATAGGATTCGTTCAGCTCACGGATTAACCCCCGAAGCTTTCCGGTCTTCTGTAGCATTGAGTTCATAAAGCGGCTGAAGGTTGTTTTGGTCTTCAGGGCCAAGCGTGAAAAACACAGCAAAACAAAGTTCACGTGAACAGAAAGCATGAGAGCTGGGTGTGGAAATTCAGGTGTCTCCCCCCACCTCCTGTTCCTGGGACACCGCGTTTGCCTCAGGAGATGCCTTCGCCTTCTCGGTGGCCTTCTCACGTGCCTGAGCAGCCTCCAGGCCACTGAACGCGTCGCCGTCAAGAACTGGAGCTGCATCAGCCTCACAAAGCCAATCCAACATAATGTGTGGCATGAGTTTGGAGGGTTGGGTTTTTGGGCACACCCCACATCCCAGGAGAGGCTTTCTGGGAAACACATGGAACAGTGATGACTTTGTCACATGGGCCAATGAAGGTGTGCACATGGGGCGGGCATGGCCTTCGAGACACCACGCTCAATCTGCTCCTGCACATGCTGTTCTTCACGCTGTTGCTTCTCCCTCACAACAACGAAGTACTCGGTCTCGCCGTCGTAGGCATTCTTCCTGCAAAACAACACGGCCAATTCCGAGCATGCGAAATGGCAAAAGGGCACTATATATACAAGCTAGCATCTATATACTGCAAAACATCCATGCATGGAGTCACAAAGAACGTCCAGGATCCACAAGCATAGATTCGATATGATTCGATCCTAAAATTGTGTAACAAAACAATAAGCAGGCTCAGGATCGTACCGAATGTGCGTGTCACGCTTGGCTTCGCATGCGCGCTTAGCGCCAGCGATCCTGCTCCTTAACTTTGAAAGTGTGAGGACATGTGAACATTAATTGTCTTGTACTTTCCACTTCATTGCTTCAAGTTTCTTTCCACTCGCCGCGACAGTACTGTGCAACTATAATAGTAAATAGCAAAACTCAAACACAGCTCCCACTCGATCACAGTTCTTGTTCAACAGCGGTTGCATGACTGCTTGCAATGAAAGAGTCGGAGACCATCCCAATTCCTTCATCTCCTTCTCTGTCATCCACTCTTCGTCCACCCAAGTAGTCACAGCTTTCTTCTTTTTAATGATCACTTCTACAGTGTTGATGAAGACGTCCTGCCCCGATACATGTAGATATTGCGTGTTGTGTATTCGTCAGCTTCAGTGTTAATCGGTTGTTCGATATACAGAAGTATATAGTGTCCATGTGTTGTGAACAATGAAGCAAGAACTTTGGGCACGATACACGCAGGGGAGCTCCTTGTCCCAATTCGAGTCCATCAAAAGCTTGGCCATGGCTCCCTGGTCTTGTGTTTGCCATGCCTGTTTGACAAAATCCGGCACGTTGAGACCTGTCCGTCTCTTGTGGGGCGCGATCATTCTCCGAATGCGAGCTTTGGCTGCTTCTTTCAAGAGGTCCTGAAGCCGGTGGGTTTGGATGCCACCAAAGTCGGACACCTTCAGTGGGTTTGGACGCGTTTGTTTTGGAAGCTGATAGTGCCCCCGTTTTGTATTGGGTTTCCACGCTGATAGTGACCCCCGATTGGATGCCGTAATGTGGAAGTCACCAATCCCTTTGTTTGGATGCGGTTACATGTGTTTACAACTTATGTATATAATATGTATATATATATATATAGATGGGTCCTGCTTGGATGAAACAGTTCAGGATGATATGTGGTATTCTGTAAATATATAGGCCTCCCACATACATATATATATATATACATATATATATATATATTTATTTAATATAGGCTATATAGGGATCCAAATGATAGTGCAGCTGGCCATGCCCGAAACCTTTGGTGCGTACCATCATATGCAATCACAAATATAGGAGCATGTTTCAGGATCCCGTGGAGGCAAACGAGCGAATGACAAAGAACACCAACAAAAGTTGAGATCAGCAAACTTGATTCAATGTTGTGACCTGTTCGATGGAGGTTGTAGAGATGGCAAACCAATAGCATGAACACCACTTGCGTCTATACAAAGCAAACTTTGTTTGTGTACATAACCTCGTAGGTCTATGTTTCCACTTCATGTGTTGTCCTCATGGCAGGTAGTGACAAGAAGCAAAAGTATGGCTATAAACTTCCACTGCCTTCTCACTATAATTATTATATGTTGACATCTCCGGCGCTTTGCCATGCAGGCTCCTGTCGAGAGCGACCCTTCCTCTTTTGCGGAGCCGTGGCAGAGGCGTCGGGCTTGGGTTCGTCTTTCTCTGCAGTGGATGGAACCTGGCAGATGCATCATTGCTCACCCACTTATAATATATATATATTAAACATATACAAATGTGCAAAAATCGACATATATATATATATGTATATATAGTTCACATCATAGGCTTTCAGCTTCCAGAGAGGAAACACACTCTTGGGCAAACGCATGCCTCCAAAGCTGGCTGGGCGGGATCCTCTCTGTCAGCCCGTGTAGGAGTAGGCACTGGTCGAGCGGCATCCTACACAGGTCTCAATACTAAAAGGTTAAGCAAATATATACATAAACAATAGCACGCATGCAACGAGACATAAACAATGTCATGCAGGTGTTCATCAATTCTTGCAGTTCAATCACCTTTGCATGTGTATAGTGATCGTGCATAAAAGACCAATTAATGCGTATATGTTTCTCTTTTATACGACCTCATGCAAGCAATGCATGACCAGAAGACTGCGCAACTCCTGCGCGGTCTTGCCATTGCCCTGGTCCATAGCTATGTGCACACCAGCTTGATGAAGTTGTGATGCCGTGGCCTGCCAGCACATGGGACATTGCCTCGCAGCCCGACAGGCTGCACAAACCATCGATATAGATATGATTGAATCAAAAAGCCCAAACCCTCTGACATCATGACCAGCCTCCAGGGTCTGAGCCTCCCAAATCTGAAGTGCAGGAACGGCTGGTTCTTGGAGTTGATGCTTGCTGTTGGGGTCCTCAAGCCAGGGCAAGCAGTCTTTGGTGGCTGGGCATTCGTCGGAAAACATTATAGTATTTGATCCACATGTTAGATGCAAACGATTTCCACTGTTTGAGCACCATATTCCCACATTCATGGCGCCCCTACTGCCTCTAAAGGTGCTGCCTCCTTCTGCTGGGCCGCTCCATAAACTTTATTCAGGTCCTGTCACAGTTGTGACCCGACGTGACAGGTTGAAAACTATATACAGTGGTGTCCCAGTAGATACTTATTTGAATCGAGAACTCAATCACGCAATATTATTCTATATATCACAAAGCCATCCAACACGACTACGTGTTAGAAAAAGGAAATGCAAAAACCTGTACATATAGGGCCATATGCGTTGAAGGTATTTGCTCGGTTGCAGGTCATTGTCATGTGGCTTGCGCACATTCATGTACGCGTGTATATATATATATAGGCCGTGCCAACATGCACAATTGTTTTACCTTTTTGTATATAGTTCCAGATATTTGTTGTAAGATATTGCGCCGCACATATATGAGTTTCCCCGGTACTGCCTCCAGTTGCCGTTCAAGTTCTCGTTCCATCTCTTCCAACTCCCGGGCTTCAGATGAGACATACTGAAGTCCATCTGAGAGGGTGCCACAACTCCAAATCCGTGAAGTTGTTGGCATGGTGGACAGTCTGTCGGCCATGACTACGATTCACAGGGACCCTACACACCCCAAAGGCACTACACTCGCGATCCTCAACCACACAAACATGTATGAAAAGGCAGTCTAAGGTTCAACAGCTGCCAAAATCATCTTCAAGCAGCTCATGTTTGAAGAGCCAGAAGCATAAAGTTCTATATAGCGCTTCTTTTTGCACAGTCTGATCAACCGTGCAACCCGGATATCTAATTGAGCATCGATCGCTGGTGGATCAAAGGCCTAAAAGTAGTATGAATCCTGTCCATGTTCGGACCCTATAGAACCCATAGAATTCCACGGGTTCTCCACGGTTTGCCACGGGTTATCCACGGGTTCTCCACGGGTTTGAAGAAACGGGTTCTTTCCAAGAAACGAGTTCTTTAACGCGCGCCACGGATATCCACGGGTTCGCCACGGATATCCACGGGTTCTCCACGGGTTGTACCATCCAGGGGCATATTAGGCTATAATTTTCTATCAAGAGGCTTCGAAAATGGTGTCAACCATGAGACTGATTTGGTTCGCGCGCGCTCAAACAGTGCTATAGGATATAGATTTGCTTTGTGAAGTTCTTCCGTGCGGGTCGACAGGCAAGGATTCTTGCAGGAATGGTGTTGAAACCTCAACTGATCTGATCCCACATGCACAAAGCCAAAGGATAGCTATTCTCAATTGTTATTTATCACGACACAGCCACGCGCACTGCAAATGGTGGTGTGTGAGTTCGTAGCTTTGGCATATATATAGCACTTCACAAGAAGTATGGTCTCGATGAACTTGGGACCTTGCATATGTACTCTCATTCGTACGAGGTTCACACTTCAATTTACGAAGGCTTTGGGATCAGACCCTCCCACTCCTTTGGAATAACGAGGTGCCTACCCCGTCTCAAGTAGTCAAAGGTAGTTTGAAGCTTTGCAAATCCAAGGCTGTATGCATCCTCCGACGGCAAAGATTGAAATGAGGCAGCGGCGGCGGGGATCACTGCTGGCAATCGGGGCTGGCCGCGAGCGGAGGCGATCAGATGTGGGAAGATGTCAACCATCTCTCTTCCAAACTGCAAGGGGTATATCCTGAGTGCTGCGGCAAGCATTGTGGCAAACCTAAAGTTCATCCCAACAAAACTTTAAGCTCAATTGACATATATATAAATTCAATGAAGCAATCTTCAAATACTTGTGAACCCATTGCTTGCCTGCATGGATGTGGGGTGGGAAAACCATGGGTGAGCTTCTCTCTCATATAGATACCCCCTGAGGTGGCCCCAAGAAAGTTTGCGAACACCAACCAAGAGTCTCTGTTGCGCGCAAAGCCGGTGTGCCCTTGTATCGTTTCTTTCCACTCTTGTCTATATAGGTGACTGCCGTTTTCACATTGGCCTTGTTCTTACGTTTCTTCCAACCAGATAAAACTCCTTTATCCAATTTGTTCATGGCCATGCTGTTGCTGTAGGCAAAATGCCTTTTGGGAGTTGGAGCTAGGTAATGCCCCATCCACCAAGCAACTCGTGTAACCTGAGCCAGGCAAGAGCAGGGAATCCGTCAAGCACACGCGGAAGGGTTTTTTGTTTTATACTTTCAGACTGGTGCCTTTCAGACAACCCTATACAACTATTTAGGCCGATTCCCTAATATATATATATATCGATCTATAGAAGCCCCACCATGTCAACCATTGGATCTTCTATATATATATATATAGGTCTTGAGCCGGCCCACTATCAGATGTATATACTTTCATTCGCATAAATGTTCAACCATTCTTTGTGAACCACACGTGACTATTTCCCAATATACGGCTCGATCTTTGTACACAATCTTGTTGGCAAGGGTGTGCAAAAAATACAAAAGGGCCTACATTGCGCAAACATCCTTGTGGGTTCAACGCATCGCCAAATGGATGGCGAGGGGCAGCACTCGACCCATGGCTTTCCATTATCACTGTCAGGAACTCTCTGAAAGCTGGATAGAACCCCAAGCAGCTAGAATTCGGCTGTTCTAGCCCCCACACTCCGCCTAAAGCAGTCACCAGCAGGAGAAGATGAATTGTCCTCGATCGGCCGAAATCAAAGTGAAACCAATTGATATAATATTCCCTGCACAGGCGCATGGCTTGTATAAGACAGATTTGGCCACTGGAGCTGCCCAAACATGAGGGTACATTATATATACAGAAGAAAGTGCAGAGGAGAATCCGTTCCAACATTGCATTGGATGCAAAAACAGATTCATACTCATCGTAGCCAATAGAGGTACACATGCTGCGCTTTGACGTTCCCTGGTTTATCCCAGTCCAACTGGCGCACTTTATAGCGAACATCGCCAGGAACCGTTGTGGAGCACACTTCAGGATCGAGGCCACAGCCAGCCTGGGATGAAGTGAGGGCTTGGGATTCATGGTTTCCCCAAACTTTCCAATCTGGCAAGTTCAACAAAGCATTTGTTTGGTTTCTTTTGTACTACTGTGACCCTCACATGTACATGTTTAAAGTTCAGAAGTTGAATTCTTTCGGGTTTTCCGTTTTATATACAGTAGTGAGTCCAAGCGACGCAAATCCGGAGTCACTGAGAAGGTCCATTGGATTGCTTTGGTGCTTCCTTTTGGTCACGCCCACTTGCGAACCAAAAAGGAAATCCAGTTTGGCCGCTCTGAGTCCCGACAGCCGCATCATGCGAGTCAAGTTCCCCTTGCCTGCATAGAACTCCACACAGTCAAACTCCTGCAGGAAAACGATTCAGCACTGAACCCCTGGTCTGGGTCAATTATACACGAAGAACGTTCAGCGGTGATATGAATATATATATATGGTATATATAAAAGCATTTTACACGTCATGCACATTCGCATATAGTTGCCAAATATAAGTTCGATCCTTTTACAAATATATAGTTTTGGACCCAGTTCTCCTCCGACAGGTCAAGGGTCCCTGTCCAAAGCACCATCAAGATGATGGAGGCCATGACCTGGATCGCAGGGTTGGCTGGCCAAGGAAGCATTTGATATCCACAAACGTGAGACCCTATATGGGAGGTACACATATAAATATGTGCTTGCAGGGTGTCTTGCAGGGTGTCACCAATGACCAATGAGCCTGTGTGCACATTGTTTTTTTACTTCTTCTCTATATATATAGACAGCCCGGTGCACAAGGCAAACAGATCTAGGTGGTCCCGCCTTTGGGCATCGGAGGACCTTCAGGCGGTACATGAAAGCGTCTAAATCTGCGCCCTTCATCAGAGCTGGTTGCTCTTCCAACTTCAAAAAAGGCTGCAAGACCACATCAGTGGACAAGATTGGACAACTCTCACCCAATTCCCTCCAGTATATATAAACTACGTTTCTTTGTCGATATAGTATGACGTGAGATGCACCAAATTCTTACTGCATCAGAAGTTGACAGACTCAATGCCATATGTTTGTACATAAATATCTAAAAGCGGGTACACGGGAAAACTCATGCCAGAAGTTCGATGTGACTTCTTCTTCTTTTGCTTTGCTCGCACCTTGAAAAGCTTCCGTTTGGAAGCTCGTGGCATCGCGGGCCATCAGCCTGGCCGTGCCGATGCGGAGTGTTGCAAGAGAATGTTTCTGTGTGGGGCACGCCTTTTGCCTTTAAAGGGTTGAAACGATATGTCAATATCATTCAGCAAATATTTGCCAATGTTTTGATATAACAGATACTGTACTGTATTCAGACCGCAATGATATAAATATTCATCGATCTTCATGGTTGCAGAATTACAGTATTCACATACGTTTGACCCACAAACACACCCAATTAATGCCCAGACAACCCAGTCTTTTTGAGCTCTCCAAAACGCAAACGGTGCACGCTAAGATGCAAACATGTATATGTTCCGAGTCCATGTTTGCAAGACTTTCGAATGAAGATTTATGGAATGTTCCACACAAGCAGGCTGAGCAGGCTTCTTTTAAACTCAGAACGCATTCCATAAACAAAGAACACAAGCAAAGGTCTTTTACACGATGTATCGACAGGCATACACACACATATACATGCACCTCAACGCCTTTTACAACACATACACTATTGAAAGGAATTTGTCACCTGCTCAGGGCTAGACTCGTGTGCACACATTCAGCCCCTGTAAGATTAACCCCAAATGCCATCAAATGTTTTGACAGCTGCCCTGCACATTGGGTTTACATCTTATCCACTACTTGTGCAAGGTTCACCTCCAGGCACGCCATGAGGGATCAATTGAGCTGGGTCAAGTGTTCATAGGGATTCTCTGTGCACAAGAAGTGCAAGGCAAGCGCTCCGTTGACTTTCAAGTTCATGATCTCCTCCCCATCCTTCTCAAATCCAGCATTGTCAGCATCAACCCCCATAGCCTGGGCAGCAATATACAGAGTCTGCAAACAACTTTGGCACAGAGAGAGATCTATATATATATATATATAGATGTTGCAGTTCTATAGATCAGACACCGTTTTTTACATGGAGTTGAACGCGAAGATTCTATAAGTTTGTTTCATGGTTGCTGAGTGGACGTGTATACAGCGCACAATTGAACCAGCTATAAATGAATGTGGCCAGAGCTTTTGGACGTGTAGTTTTGGCTATATGTAGTGTTCTGTTCACTCTAAGGGGCTGCGAGCTCTGCAGAACGTACAGCCACTGCCGTCAAGCGCACCGAAGATGCCTTGATTGAGTTCCAGTTGAAGTGATGAATGTCCTTGCTTTTCTTGGTTGGCTTGTCCTTCTTCTTCTTCTTGCCGCTGGCGGCGCCTTCCTCATTCAAGACGCTAACTCCACAAGCGCTGCGCGTCCAGTAGATGTTCAGGTGACAGGTCTTGAGTGGAGCAAGGCGGTCACGAACGGCCTTCTTGAAGTTCTCGAAGTTCTCAGGCTGATTGTAGGTCTCATCGAAGCCCAAAGCAAAGTCCATCAAAGCTTTGATCACCACATCACTCCGCCGATCACTCTCCAGCAGCAAGTCATAGGCTGAGGCACGGCGGGCACGTCCCTTGGCCTTGGCCTTTGCCTTTTCAGCAGCTTGCGGCTTGGCTTTCTTCTTGGTCTCAGCCTTTGGCTTTTTGGTCTTGGGCTTTCCATCAGAGCCCTTGTTATTCTTTGCCTTGGTCTCGCCCGGCTCAGGCAGCTCAGCCTTTGATGCTGCACGCTTTCGCCTCTTGCCTTTGGCTTCACCCTGCGCACTCATCTCAGGCAATTCTTCAGCAGGTTCCTCGGCATTGGCTGCAGCATTCTTCAAGATGCGCCTTTTGCGCGATGCCTTTGGCCAAGCCATTGCTGACCCTGCTGATTGGCTTTGGGTAGATGTCTTCTTTGAGCCCTTCTTACCACGCTTGCTCTTCTTGCCATTCTTGCGTGGCTTCCTGGATTTGCCCTTTGGGGCATGAGACTCATTCTTCTCACCTTCGTTTTTTTCCTTTGCGTCCTTTTTCTTCTTTCGGCCATCCTTCTTTTCTTTCTTGTGGGAAAGCTGATCATTTCGTGTGACAAAATCGACTTCTTCAACCCCCTCTCCTTGCACCATTGCCTCTGCGGGAGGAAGCTGTGAGTCTTCCTTTTGCCACCATTCGTCATGTTTACCACCCTCAGTTCCCATGTTCTCATCCACCGCATCATCGGTCTTGGCTTCCTTGAAGCACGTGTTTTGCGCATGTATATTGGGCAAGAGCTAAAGGAAACACATTGAAAACTGATGGCACCACACCCGTTCTCAGAGTTGTGCAGCTTAAGCAGGTCTCTATATATATATATTATAACTGATATTTATATGCGCACCCAAATTATAAACCTTGTTGGATCACAAGCTTCTAAGCCCAATAACCCCAGTCCTTTGCATCGCTGCTCCCATCTGTCTTGGCAGGTGGTTCCATTGGGGATGCAGCTTCCGGAGAAGCAAGTCCAGGAGCGGGCTGGGTGGCGGTTTGGTTGCCTCGGGGTTCTCCTCCTTGTCCATCTTTTCCGGACGCACGTACGTACTGCTGACGGCGAGCACTGGGAGACAACCCCGGGGAACTCTTAAGTGGCTCCACCTTTTCCACCGAGTTCCTTTCGACAGCGGACTCCACCTCTGAGATGTGCATTGGGACAGTCTCCAAATTGTCCACCACCGAGCCAGCACCTGCATCGATCGATGTCTGATCGATGACCCATTTATATAGTTAAGGGTATATCAAGGAAAGCCGAACTCGATCCAAAGATATATATAGATATACATATATATATATTTGGTTTTTACTTATATATACATATATTTTATAATATTTTATAATATACACGCGTCTCTCCAAAAGAAAAAATGATAAGACATCACTGGTGCAGATGGCGGCAACCGTTGGGTTCCAGTTCTTGTCATGCCTATTTAAAGGCAACTACTTGTGGAAAGCAGTACATTGGAACCCGCCTGGATGTGTGCCTGCGGGCTGACCCTGGCCTGAACTCTTAGCAGCCAAAGCTTGCTTCCTGGCTTTGAGCCTGAGGCGCAAAACAAAGGTCGCTTCTTATATGTGTATTTATGGACAAAGAACTGATACATATACCCATGCGAACATATTTATATATGTATATGCTAATATCAGGTCCCTTGCATGGGTACAAACATATATACAGAAACATATCCCTTTCCAGTCTTGCACTCAATCATTGAGAAACAACGTGCATCCCACTGACACCCAAACAGCCAGTCTAGGCCCTGAACTCCGCAAGCTGCTGCAAGATCTTTCTTCTTTTTGCTTCCGTATCATCACCTGCATGTGGCGCACAGTCTGCACTAAACAACAGTGGACATCCTCCTGAGCTGTTTCTATAACAAAGATGTCACATGCACAAAATAATGGAGATGTTCATTTGTTAGGCGCTCATACTTGGGGCACTTGAAGACATTATATACGTGTGATGTTCACAGCCAGTCCACTCACCAAACAACCGGAACACAGCAGGGCGCCTGTGGTTGCATCTTGGGGAGTTGGCTCCACAGGCTTCACCACTGGCGGTCCAACAGGCTGATTGGTAGCATGCTCGGCATGCTCGGGTTCTGTTGTTGATGGCTGGGACTCCAGATCAATCACTTCATTGGCTGGGGCCAAGCAGGGTCCGCTCAACTCTGGTACCTCCGCGGCCGGGATAGAGGAAGATGAGGTGCCTCCGTGGACTGGGATGTCCTTGCCTACCACCTCTTCAACTTCAACGTCATCATCATCATCATCCTCCGACTCGTCATATGCATCAGGATCCACCTCATCCTCCACAGATGCGTGGCCATCCTGAAGCCAATGGGAATCCAAAATTCTGCAAACGTAGATCCATGACAAGTTGCTATATAAGCCTAAATTGCCCTTTATGTAGTTAATGACGCCTGGGTCCTCTTTTTATCCACTGCGCGATGATGAGTATGATTGAACTTTTCTTCAATGCAGCATGACTTTCCAAGTCTATAATACACAAAGTATATGCTTACAATAAAGACTCAGCATTGTAAATTGATAAAAGCTCTGCAGAACATGAGCTGTAAAGGACGCATGTATAGGCCACCTGGTTTCAAACATTCAAGGACAAATAATTCCAAACATATATATATAAGGCCAAAGCTCTTGGGCTCTGCGCTGAGCACGTTTCTTCTCCACTTTGCGGTTGATCTCTGCGCAAAGATCCTGTGGATGCAAGGAAAGAAAGCCGTATATCAGCGTATGTATTTGACGTGCGCATCCTTTACACTTGTATACATGTTTTGTCAATATGAGTTGTACTGTGATATACTGTGTGTACTTTGCATGCCATGTATACATATATATATATATATGGACATATATGAGACAAGTTGCAAGCGCTGGACCAAATGGTGGATTTGGACCCTGAATGGGATAGTTAATATGTTGCGCTTTATGATGCTTTATGTCTTATATATGTGTTGGCTGGTGAGAGCGGAAGGGCAGCAAAGGTTCCAATGTCTCCTGTCCTCAAGGTCCGGCCGGAGAATCATGCAAAGCTGCTGGAAGCGCAAAGCCTCATTACAAAGTCAAATTGCCACGTTGGTGTTGCGGTGTCTCTATATATATCGGAATGTTGTTTGTGGTTCGATGGATGCATATCTGAAAACAGCGGAAGGGGTATATGATGTTTTTAATTTAGTCAAAACAAATTGCATCCAAATAGCAGTCGAGGGTTTCTTGATCCTCGCCTTCATCTTGACCAGCCCAAGGAATTTCCGTACCATCCACGAGTCATGAACAACATCACTGTCATCAGCAGACTTGTTTTTGCAGCATGACTTGTACAGTTTTGACAATTCCTCTCTGAGGGGCTCCACTGCGGGCTGCGGACACCCCTGGGTGCTTTTCATGCGGGCCAAGACTGGAGCAAGCACTTCGTAAATCACACTTTGGCATGATGTCTTGACTGTTTCATTCAAATTTTCGCAAAAGAGAACTGCTCCATCCTGCAGCAAATGACTGCGGATCTCCCTCGATTGCTCCCACTCCATAGCGAGCCCGTCAACATCGAGCTTGTGTTTCCCCTCCGCGTCGATGCTCTCAGACGACATCTGAATCGTCCGTGGTCGAATAGCCTTTTAACCAAGGTGCTTGGGCCCAAAAGTCTGGGTGGCGTAGCTGGTAGTGTGCTTTGGCATGCCAATGCTTGCATATATGCTTGCATATATAACCCAAAGAATATGATCCCAATATATCACACAGGTATATTCAAAAGATCGAGTGACAAACCCTTCCACACCTGTTGAATCCTTTTAACATCCCTTCGTGTGTGTCAAGTATGTATATACAAGCTCCACATATAAAGACCTTTGCAACGCAGGACTGGCGAATGCTTGCGGAATCTTGCCTCGTCCGCATCAGTTGAAAAGTCCATGGGACCGGTTGCTCGCTGGGCTGGGTTAGCTTGATAGGCTCTATATGTTCATGCAGTTGCAGCCGGTTGTGCATTTACCCTGGGATATAGCAACAACCATGCAGTTCGGATCCAATGTTGTAAATACCAAAAATGCAGAATGAAATCACTGCAACTCATGGTTTGTATGATCGATATTCACACCGCCTTTTAAGGTCATCGGAATATGCACGTGACCATGAGAAGCAGGTCTTCCTGCGATGCCGATCCTTGAGCGGTGCTGATTAGCACACGACCTCCTGAAAGGAGCCATTAAATAGGCAAAGCCACACCTTATAGGAAGGCAAAAGGACAGCATAGAGGGCTCACACACCACATGGTGGGACTCAAACATTGAGTATTTTAAGGATCTTGCCAAAGAATCGAGTTTTTTCCTGGAAAGTCGAGTTTTTCAGACCAACCTCTTGAAGAGTCGATGTCCTGACACTGAACCTACATTTTTATAGGTTCTTGAAGCTGATGGTATCAGAATAAACTGAATACACATCCAAAGCAACAACACATGGCTGTCAAAGTGTCACGGGCCACGCATGATGAATCAAGAGGCAATTTCTGCGTTCCATATGGTTGGATACCAAGGGAGTCGGTGCTAAGGAGTATATAAAATTGCAACACTAGTTTTGATTCTAAACGAAATTATGAAGCGACACGCAGGATAATACTCTAAAACACAAGCTAAGCGCTAGCGTGGTGCTTGTGGCGTGCTGGTGCTTTGAATCTGCTTTTGATTGCTAGAAACCATTTGCTTGGCAGTTTCATAGGGCTAGCAGGCATAGTATCGGTGATGGGGTATACCTGAGCAGCTAAAGCACAGTATACTACCTACTTGACGAACGCAAAAGCCCACAAGAGTCGGCAAAGGAAACAGCTTAAGCAAATGCAGCAAAGCACAGAGAGCAGCTCATTAGTTGAGGTACAAAGCATGCGCTAGTGTATTTTGCTGTGAGAACAAAACACCAGTCAAAACACCATAAAGCAAGGTTTCACCGTTAGTGTCAGCTATAAACATGAAGCGAC